CGAAATCATGGACAAAACCAAACTGGACTCAATAAGCTTATAAGGATGCTAGGAAAGATTTGTGTGCTTGTGCCCTCATTTCATCTTCCTGGCTCCCGGTTGCTCGACACGAACTCTGGCGCAATTTCGTCATTTCAAACTGCCATACGAGGTCATTTGAAAGGATGCTTGTAACATCTTCATCTCCTTACTCAACTCTGCCGTCTGCATTCATACGGGAGCTCGCGTACTGGTCGTCGTTTTACAGTCTAAACTGGGGACCTTTCGACCAGGGTCCCTCCCGCTTCTTCGAATGGCTAGGGTCTCCAGCCCGCCCCGGTACTAGCCAAGCCAATCTCCAGCGTCTCCCTGAAGTGCGTTCGCTGAGCCTACAGAATACCGAACTCGTGTATCCGGATGACGATGAAGATACCAAATCAAACCCAAGTTCACTCAGTCCAACAGCGAAAGTCATTCTCCTACACTTCTTCGATACCATTACGACGTTCAAATTCGAGTATCTCGAAGTACTCTCCATCGCACAGATATCGACATTGCTTCACGCCTTCCCTAAATTGATGGAACTTCATCTCATCGAAGACCAGTTCTCTCCACGGCGGCGATGGATTCACGGAAACATTAGCATCTTCGAGGATTGTGAGACCTCACAGCCAGATGGCAGAAGCGGGTGTTCGTCGGCACTGCTGCTTCAAACCTTCCGCTTCCATGAAGCCCAAACCCTTGAAAGTTATTCAACTATTTCGAGGCAGACGAAGATGAACATTCGACCATATCACAGAGTATCACCTTCTTTCACCGCCTTCGTCATTGGACTTCCCGGACTCCCCGTCAGAAGGTGAAGATGAAGTCGAAGGTGACAACGGTTCGACTTGGTAGTGCATGCACTCTTGTTCACTTGTTACAGGTATATCATTAATCTGCCTCCGGTCCTTACTCCTTCCACGAAGTCCCCAGTTCCCGATATCGATGACTACCGCGTCGTTGAATGCGAGGATGAGTGCTATGTTTCACTAGGCTGAACTTTGGCCCGCTGGCGGCGTCCCGTGAAGTGCGAACACGGTGATGCCGACGTAGAATCGGGGAACCGTTGGGAGCTATGAGCAACTCGTCACTGGCTGGACATGACCACCTTAATGAACCCACTTACCTTCCTCAAAAGATCTCAATCGCAATCGATTGTCGTATGACCTTATTGACCGACATCGATGAACAACGATCGGACAGTCTGGTCTTTCGGATCCGACTTGGTCACCGTCTCCACCGACGACGAGACGATTTCAGAGAATGAGTTGCGATGGCCTGATGGATTAGACTGAGCCGCTTTGGTAGCTTGGCCGGCAGAGTTGGCGAGGTAGCAGGTCGCATTGAAACGTTTGAGAGTAACGTCCGGAGTAATGAGCTCATCGTTAAGGGGTTGTTATAAGTTCCTGGAGCAGGGTCTCTTCATTTATATCGAGACACGCTGAGGGTCTAGACTCCCACTCTTGTTAGGCTCTGGGCTTTCGCAAGCGGGATTGCCCCAATGATCTCATTCATTCTTTTCTTTCCGAGAAGCTTCCTCGTAGCTATACATGGTGAAGAGCGGGACTCGTGATGGCATTCCATGGAGCCTATCAAGGACTGACAAGACTAGGTGTGGCGGGGCTTGGTCTGGTACGACCGAGCCGTACCGAGTCCCTTGACCCACAACAGGTCCTTCACACGGGTGGATAAGGAACTCACGGGACCTCGGATCTCGTGGTTTATAGTGGGCACGGAGCGGGAAAGCATCCCGACTCCCGAGAATTGCCACTAACCTCCGTGATGTCGATCAGTGGCAGTGCGTGAGGTTTGTAGACTGGGTTGTGGGGGACACGGGATGATCTAATAGCGGCAGAGTATAAGGCCTGTTCAGAGAACTCGATCCTGACATCCACTCTCGTACCAGTAGCCCGGGCCTGGCCTAGGGCGCCACCGACTCGATCTTAAACGGGGCAGCGTATCATTCAGAAGTATGTGTGTGCTCGTACTAGTCTAATTTTTGACACCAGTGCCGAGAATGGTAACGATTTTGTCTTCCCGCAGCTCTTCATTGGCTTGACTACTCGAGTGCCTCCGAGGCTTCCCGAATGTCCCGTGCCATATTCAAGATATTCAAGGTAATCCTTTGGATCGAAACGGGACAACGCAAAAACTAATGACCGTGAGCGTATTAAAACGAAATGGACACACTGGGAATTGAACCCAGCACCCCCCGCAGATCAACATAGTTTGATTGTTCAATTGTACTGGATGCTAAGCGGATGTGATAACCAACTACACCATGTGCCCTTATGCATGACCTCGGTAAGCCTCTCTACTGACAGCATAACGGGCTGAACACTTCAAGCTCGTTTAGAAGCCGCTGCCCCTAGATGGTCGTTAACGCAACGCTCCAGCGAAGGAGGGACTGCTATTTTGGTGACCTCGAACGAGAGCCAGTTCATTCTCGTACGCCGGAAGGGACATCGCTATGCACTGTGCAGGTCATCAACAGTCTATCATACATATATGATCGAATATTGCACCTCGAGAGAGGGGCGGGAGCGTCACCAGCTAGCGAACAGAAACACCTCGTATCTCCCTGCGATCCGGGTTAAGCGTACAGGGCGGCACGAGCGTCCGTCCATGGCTCTGGGCACAGTAATGGATTCCAGGCAAGGCATGAGATCAGGAGGTTGCCCATAGACAGATAGAGGTAGACCAGCAACCAAAAAAACGCGTTGGTCGTCGAGGGAAGTGACACAGACGCGTGACATCACGCGAAGTCACGCCAATAATAGCCGCGACAGGGAGAAAATCACTCTGGCCCAGATTTTGTGACCTTCCTTCCATCTTTTCGCGTCATTCTTCGTGTACTCTAAATAATTATAGCTATATTTAGGTCCTGGCCAGTGGGATCAGCGATAACTAAATTTTCTCATTTTATACACTGTTTACATACTATGTAACAGTGGCATTACAAGCAACCCCTTGGCCAGGATCCAGATTTTGGCCATAAACTTGCATATATTAGGTAGTTTTGAGCAGCCCAGGTCCCCAAAGATGGTAATTTGGGCCAAAAGGTCACGGACACACTCGTTCATCAATTTGGCGGTAAGGCATCGGATTATAACATGTACAAATATGCCATGGCGTTTGGCGGCAATGCCCACCCCCACGTCCTGGCGGCGGATATCTATAGGGTATCCACGTGGTTTCTGTATGCCGGTGGACGAGAACTCTGGATGAAACGGAGTAACATAATCTCAGCTGTAATGAATACAGATGAAGGAACGACCACATACGATCTACTCCCCCCTTGAACCAACTCTGATCCTCGAAGCGCATAGGTAAATCTTCCAACTGGACCCAAGAAGCACGTCGAGTGCGAAAAGGACAATCTCGAGGTATCGCATTGATTGTAAATATGAGCATGCGAAAAGTGACTCGAGAAGCAGGAAAGCATACCTCGGTGGAGATGCATTCTTGGGAGAGGAGGTGGAAGGGGAGCAATGTCCAATCGTGACTCGGTGGCCACGAAAGTTATTGTATGTGCCGTGGCGAACAGACGTAGCCTGACGAGCGGCGGAAGAATAGCGTCTGTCGTGGTTGTTTTCAACTTTTCCGGTGAGGCTGAGGCTTTGAGTGAGGCTTCTCAGGGCTGTCAGCGACGTGGGGAAGGTCATACCTGAGCTTAGTGTCTTTAGATTCAGATCGGACACTGAAAGGCTGAGCGAAAGTCGGCACGTACCTGATGAGATTAACGACCTAGATTCTCCGTACCATCCGCTACTCATCAGCGCTCCAGTCCTCATACAACGTTTTGACTATCGGTAATTCGCCTGCAGAGGAGGATGTTTCAGTATCGTAAAGGGTATCGGCAGAATCAACAACACCATACTCTGGCCCAGCGAACCAAAACGCTGCCAACGGGATCCGTTATTCCACCATTTCACCTCTCCGAGATATTGCCTCGTCTGTCTCGTGATAGCTTCTTAGATATTGCGATCGCCAGTGAAGGCAGTTCCGACGGTGTTCATCGAGACCTTTTGGATGTATATGGAGGACATGGCATCTCTTCGCAACCTTCCAGTGGACGAGAACCTGAGCTCAGATCTTAGAAGAGAACGGTCTAAGTTTCCATGCAGGGAAAAAAAGAAGATGACCACGTACGATCTCCACCAAGCTGACACGCGCATTCTTCCGCGTATCTGTTGTGCTTTCACAAAATCAACCACGATTCGCGTTCCATGGATATTAAGCGAGGAGAAAGACGTCGAGAAGCCTTCCGCTACGTTCTGGGTGTGAGTTGTGGGCAGGTGAAGGTCACCGTCAATGGAAAAAAACTAACTTCATCCAGTTTGGTGAGTGGAACTCGCGTTGGGTAAAAGAGAGTAATGCCCAATAATCTCAATTTGAGGTTGCATTGTTGGACACCTGTACGAAGTTGATCACAATGTTCCTAAAGAAAACCAATTTGAGCATTGTGTACCTATAAAACCGGTCATCACCCAAAGATGAGAACCAGGGCCCTCCTCTCAGAATCGCCCGTGACGACGATAAACAAGGCCGACTACGGACTGCCTTTCGGCTCTGTTGATATGGAGAAACAGCGGAGCCATATGGATACGAGGTAGGGAGAAACGACCAGGCTCGCTTTGGTCGAAGGATAAGATGATGGTGGTGTGTGACACAGCGGGCAAAACCCGGGTCAGTGGACGGTCCACTGACTTAAGTTCAGTGGACAGTTCAGTGGACAGGCAGTGGACAGGTGTTCCACATCATCAGACCCGGGTACTGATTATCGCCGGTTACCCGAGGTGATATCACCTGCCGTGTCGTTGGCCAAATGGGTGAAGACCCAATAACTATACAATGTTGTGTACACCCTTGTAGGTTAAAAACATTTATGAAGATTTTATTTGATTGACTGGTCCAAAGCAAGGTGCGGGCTCTGCCGGCTGCAGGTAAATTAGGGCATTGCTGAACGAAGAATATCATTTATAAATTACTTTGATTATTGCGGGGTAATTTACGGAGGGCAAGCAGGCCGACCAGGATGAGGAATTATTGATGATAGTCAGGTCTAGGTCCTTTGTTTGCTCTGAAATAGAAATATACATAGTTCTGAGGACATACCAACAGGAAGGTCAGGAGATAAGCATGGATCAACATTTTGAGTGACCCACCTTTCATGTCCAAACAAGAATTTTCGATTCAAATTGCCTACTTTCTTTGCACTTGCCATGAAGGTCTGTGTGGCCTTCCGCTTAGCACCAGTAAAGGAGTACCAGATTGCCCTCTTATAACAGACAACAAGATCTTCTTAGTGTACCAGTCTTCGAAGCAAAGAGAGTTACAGAAAGGAGAAGTGATTTCACCATCTTTAACATGACTTATAAAAACCTGCTGTTCAATGATTTACAATGGGAGGATGCTCTCGAGAAGAGAAAAACTATCTAGTTTGTGAAAGGGAGTGTTCACAATATTGTGAATACTCTGCTTTAGACACTTCCTGACCCATAATTTCTCTATAATTTTTTAATCTTCCATGTGAGCTTTCCAGCACCCTCGCAATCCACAGTAGTCCTTAAAGACAAAAGCTTGATCTTCATATCTTGAACTCACAATCAGATTGTGGTCACAGATTATACCCGGGTCTGGTCATGTCCGGTGACTGTCCACTGACGCGTCCACTGCCTGTCCACTGAACTTAAGGCAGTGGACTGCCACTGACCCGGGTTTTGCCCGCTGTGTGACCAAGTCGACAAACCCGCGATCGGCCCTCGGCAAAGTGAGATAAGATCAAATATCTAATCATGGCAAGTCCGGGCCGGGCTCCGCCCATACCTTGTTCTGACGCCACATTCCCGCCAAGTCGATTTGTACTACTTACAACAATTCTATCTTCAGGTTTTCATGCTTTAACGAGATCGAGGAGGATGAATATTTCTCGTTCGACTCCCCAAAACTGTTTCCTTACGCGAGTGTCCCGTACGATCGGTAATCCCCATCAAAACTTGCAGGCTCGACGAAGAAAAGTACACCAAAATTCGGATTTTCTGTATTACAGATCGTTTACAACAAATCGACGCTCAAAAAGGACTACAAGCTCTGATTCCAACAAAACATGGGTAAATAACGACCCCTTCAAACTTCCTTGTTAGCCTCTTCATCGGCGGCTTTGTCGTCTGCTAACTTAAAATTGCTGCACGACTGCTCGGTCCCGACTCTCACACCCCGAGGGATGTTGTTGATGTTGTAGTTGTACCTAGGGTCAGAGGTAAGCATAGGGAAGAAGAAGACGCGGTGAAATATACCAAATGTAATGGCCCTGCTGACGGCTTCCGTAGTTGATTCTGATGCGCTTGCACTAGAAAATAGATGGTCAATGCTCGTGTGTAGGACAAGGAAAAACCATTATAACACTCACAGGGACCTCGAGATTACATGCGTCGGCACCACCGTCAGGTGGGCAGTTGTACAAGTTGGCGGGCTCGCTTGGAACGGCGATCCGACGTTCAAGATTGACAGTAGACGCTGCTTGAGCTGTAGCGACACTGGCGACGAGAGCAACGAAGACAGCTTTGAATTGCATGATGAGAGTCGACTTGTGGTTGAGAAAGAAGCTCGAGAATGAGGTTGAGTTTGGGATCCTTCAGTTCATTCTTGACCTGCCTTTATAGATTTTGACTCTTGATGAGGTGTTTGCCATGGTTTGCAATCCAGCACGGTTGAACCTCTCCTATTCCAACGGGTAGAAGCGTGCCTCGTATGGGCGAAACGCTCGCAATTCATAGATCATCAGTCACCGGGCTAAGCAGCGTTAATATCATGGCGCGCGGGTGGAGAACGATTCAGGGCAACATTGTATTCACCGTAGTGTGACTCGTTCTTCCTTCCCCCTGTCAAACTTTGCTTTCAATAAATCATCTGGTCTCAAGGTTCATGTTTCATATTGATTTCGGTGTAGTCGGGGGGATCATGGTGTTCTCGGGGTGTGGCGGACATCCAGCGCAGTTATAGGCTATCTCCCGCGATCCCGTAGTTTAGCTTTGACCTCATCCATCGTTGGGCGCAAAACACATCTTACCAGTGACCAGTTGTTAGTTTCTTTTACGTGTTTCCATCTCAATTACACTGCATCTGTAGTCTGCATTATGTCGAAAGTTGTCTTAGGTTCACATGAGCTTGAGACCAAGTTTTAACAATCGAGAAAAAGAATTCCACGCTCTCGGAGAAAATCGAAGAGGAAGCGGCCCCATCTAGTTGGATGTGTCAACAAGGCCACCCTCTACCGTGACAAAAGG